GGAAGTCTTTGAATTCGGCCCTAAATATTTAATAAAATCTGGCTCTAAATGAAAGGCGAAGAATAACAATTTTGATGATGAGAGGATATGGCGATCTCAAAAGGATCAAGTGGTTCATTTATTTAATGATACGCCAGTATCAAAATCAACTGTGTGCAGAACAATACAAATGTTTGAAGAAACTGGAAGCGCGAAAGACAAGCCCCGATCAGGGCGCCGAAGAACTGAGACTAATGACAATAACGCTGTTGAAGTATTGCATAGTTTTGTGGAAGATCCTTATACTTCTGTGCGTAAGGAGAACATGACGCAAGTAGTAGATCATCTATTTGCCGAATTTTAAAAACAAACTCTTATAAACCTTACAAAATACATTTACTGCAAGTGTTAAGTGAAGGATCGAAGGCTTGATTTCTGTGAAACAATTTTTCCAACGAACGTATTTTCACTGTTAATGGTTTAGTCAATCGTAACAATTTGAGGTATTGAAGTGATCAAAATCCTCACTGGATGAGAGAAGAACACACTCAGAGACCTCAAAAAATTAATACGTGATGGGCTGGTATCATTGGTACTACCATTATTGGTCCGTTTGTAATTGATGGTAACTAAATGACCAAAAGTACGAACAAATGTTACTTAATGAAATTGTACCAGCTTTACAAAACTTAGACAGAATATGGTTCCAGCAGGACACCTCATTTTGCTTTTGGAGTTCGGCAANGAAAAAAAATAAATTGTGAATAATTATAATTTAAATTTTTTCATTTACTTTTAAAATATTTATCTAATTTTTTGGATACTTCAATAAACAGTACACACCTTTCATGATTTTTCAAATTTTAAACTATTTATTTCTATTTTTATTTACATTTAATCTAATCTAATTCTTCTACTAGTTGGTAATTTTTTACATGCCTCATCAGTATTATCACAATCTATTTCGTCGTCGATTTCCTCGTCCTGCAATTGCAAAATATCATTTTCTAACGACTCTGAAATCTGATTGTCGAGAAACTTTCACTGTTTTGTAAGCATTTTTACACATTTGCCCTTGGCAATGGGTGCAATACTCAGAGCATTTTTGAACTCGAGAATTCAGTTCGGAGTAGCTGTGTGTTTGCTCCCCCCACCGGTCTTGAATATCTTTGAGTGACATTTTAAATGGGACGCCCGTGATTGCAAATTTTGAAAATTTATATCTGGAAAGTACTCGGAAAGACAAACCTATTATTTCAAAAAACAACATTTGTACCCTTATAGTTTTGCTGTAAATAAGGGTTAACTTTAACGGGCTATAACTCCGAAAATAATGGGCGGATCAACAGTTTTTTTTTAATACTCGTCTTTCCGAGTACTTTCATACCATATTTTAAAATAAAAAAAATTTGAAAAAAACATTAAATTATTGCAATTGTTTATAAGCGTGAAAATTGCGAAAATATTTAAACAATCACCACGGCTCACCTAAGCGACCGTTTTGAATTTTTCAAAAACCATTTTAAAGCTTGAGAGCTCTTTTTTTGTGGTGAAATTTTTAAGTATTCAAAGGCTTCAGATTTTTAGAAATTTGATTTTTAATTTTTTTTAATTTTAAAAGAAAATTAAACAATTAGGTATTATGTAAAAACTATCGAACCGAATTGGATGAAATTTGTTGTGATGATTCTATGCACTAAGAAGTGCAGAAGTGTGAAGTTATTCAAGTGTCTGAAAAAAAATGACAAATAAACTAGCATTTTTGCAATTTTTTAAATGATTTTTCCGATTTTGCAATAACAATAGTTATTTTTTCGAATTGCAACTTTATCTTGATCAAAATTTAATTACGAAACCTTTTTCCTCTTCAATTTTTGTCTAAAATGAATAGTTGTGAAGTTGTCGACGAGAAATCCAAGAAAAAAATGAATTTTTAGCTATTTTTTATACTTTTTTGCAATAACAATTAAGCCCACGTTTTTTTTTATTTGCATAGAAATATTATCATTTCTGATGTTATTTAGAAGTCGTTACAGCAAAAATATCCGAACATATGCGTTTTACCCAACCCGAAACAGATACCGCCTGGACTATAAATCGTACTCAAATCCCCCTCACAAATGAGTGATATGTTAATGACATATTTGTGGTGTCTGACATGCGCTTATATGTTCCTAATTTATTAATTTTGTGGTTTCAGAATATTGTAACAGTATATTTTACAAATAATTAAGTCCAAGTATTCAATAAAAGATATTCTGCACGTGAACGCTATATAAATTATAATTATTTTTTAGAAATTGCTTCTGTTACATACGTCATAAACGATTGCTTGTCACTCATTCTACTCTGTATGAGGTACATAGGGCAAATGAACTAAATATGAATTATTATTACTTGGGATATCATGGTTTATATTATGTGAGGATCGTTTTTACCTGGATAATTAATTAGGCCTTTTGATTTTCATTATTTATTATTTAAATGTCATTTATTATGTATATTTTCAACGTGCGTTATTCAAATTCAACATAAAGAAATACTGGTGACATTTTTGGTAATATTTGAGTAGCCAACTGTTCCCTTATCTAGTACTTTGTGGTTTGATGCACACTCAAGTTAGTCATTCATTTATACACATTTCCGAATACCAGAATTGAAAAATGAGATGAGGCCACCCTAAGTTAAGTGAAGTATAAGTTTAATATGAGTGAAAGGTTAGTATAGATTTAGTGAAGTCTCTGAATTCGGCCCTAAATATTTAATCAAATCTGGCTCTAAGTGAAAGGCGAAGAATAACAATTTTGATGATAAGAGGATATGGCGATCTCAAAACGTCATTCGATCAAGTGGTTCATTTATTTAATGATACACCAGTATCTAAATCAACTGTGTGCAGAACAATACAAAGGTCTGAAGAAACTGGAAGCGCGATCAGGGCGCCGAAGAACTGAAACTAATGACAATATCGCTGTTGAAGTATTGCATAGTTTTGTGGAAGATCCTTATACTTCTGTGCGTAAGGAGAACATGACGCAAGTAGTAGATCATCTATTTGCCGAATTTTAAAAACAAACTCTTATAAACCTTACAAAATACATTTACTGCAAGTGTTAAGTGAAGGATCGAAGGCTTGATTTCTGTGAAACAATTTTTCCAACGAACGTATTTTCACTGTTAATGGTTTAGTCAATCGTAACAATTTGAGGTATTGAAGTGATCAAAATCCTCACTGGATGAGAGAAGAACACACTCAGAGACCTCAAAAAATTAATACGTGATGGGCTGGTATCATTGGTACTACCATTATTGGTCCGTTTGTAATTGATGGTAACTAAATGACCAAAAGTACGAACAAATGTTACTTAATGAAATTGTACCGGCTTTACAAAACTTAGACAGAATATGGTTCCAGCAGGACACCTCATTTTGCTTTTGGAGTTCGGCAATTCCTGGATCAAATATTCCCGAATGGATGGATTGGGAGAAGAGGTGATATTGAATGGCCAGCACGCTCTCCTGATATAACACCCCTAGATTACTTCTTTTGGGGACATTTAAAAAATAATGTTTATAAAACAAAGCCATTAAATATAGACGAATGAAGAACATAATATTTGAGGAATCGCAAGAAATTACTAGAGAAACTATAATAAACGTTGTGAAGTCATTCGTCGTTCTACTATAGATTGGGATACTGGCAAATTGAGGGTGGGAGTGGGAAATTGATTCGAAAATTCATTAGTAATGATCTAATAAAAGACATACAAAAAATTTAGGAGAGGGAGGAAAATGTTTACTAACCGTTCCTTTCTTTAAGGTAAGAATTAATGGCGTGGCCCCCATCAAAATTATAAGCCGATTAGTTCAAAGGTAGGGGTATTTTTCGCAGTTCTTTTAGTCCAATTACTATGTCATATTTTCGACAAATTCGAGAAGTAAATTCGGAATATCTGGTCTAAAATCACATGGGATTCATAAATAGCAACAATTTTATTCAAATTGTTTATAAGCGAACAACGCACGGTTTTTTAATGCACAATTTGAGAATGTTAATGTTAAAAAACGGCGATATTTTTTAATAAGTCGTTTAATTACGTCTTTAAGATTACAATGACGCTTTCAGAATCATGTTTGGTTGAAAATTAACGCCTGTACAGAGGTTTAAAGTTCATACCGTTTGGAGCCTCCGTTATAAACAAATTGAATTGTGAGAAAACTATTGCACCTACAGCGCCCACTTTTGGCACACTTTTAAAGTACATATGACAACACCCTCAACTTGTCATAGGTTTTATAAAATTTTAACAATAAATGCGATAGTTATATACAAATTAAGAAATGGGCACTTTTCTTGTTTTTTTGCAATAACTTTTTTGTTTATTAACCAATTTTAATTTAACAAGTCTCATTTTGTAGATAATTTTACTCCCTACAAGCTGTCTGTGTCACTTTTCGCTAAAATTGATGGTTTTCCCTGCAAAGTGAACAAACTGTTTTTCTCACTTTTGTTTAAATAGAAAAATTAGCTAATAAAAGTTTTTGACTCACGAGATGAGAGATGTCTTGTATTATGTTCCTTTAGACAATTTTACAATAATCTCGCGGTTAGGACTTTTTTCGAGTTTCTGTTTTATTTTCGCTAATTTTCCTGGTGTACTATACATAATTTTATAAGGAGCCATAGGAATAGTTTTTTCTCTAATATTATTACATGGGCTATAATAAATTGAGTTGTTCTTCAGCAGTTAAAGGTCAGTAAAACAAAAATATACATTCACATTACTCGACGACCTAGACAACGCGTCTATAATTATAACAGTCACAAGTCAATAATAACCATATTTTCCTTATCGATCCAACACTACAATAACGCATAAATTATTGCTGTGGGTGACTAATCAACCTCTATCAACTCATCTGATCATTTTACTGTACCGCCCCACCAGACAATTAGTTAATGCAAATGAACGGTATCCATGTCGCCTATAGATCATAAGACCGCAGTTAGAACTCACAAAATGTGCACGAACACCTTAGACGCGGTGTCTTGCCTCTATCCCACCTATATTTACTCTCTACTTATGGGATTCGCTCCTTTCAAGATAGAGAGGAAGGGTCCTTTCGTCGAAATTAAGCATTGCAAGCTTTATCACGTACTATCCACTTTGTTCTACACGCTTTCCATCTGCTTCTTGGTTTGGATGGGCTACACCAAAATGGGTTACTACCATCTCCAAAGTCCAATGCAGAGATTTATCAATTTCTTGTATCTGTTATTGGTGGCGGGACTGATGTCTGTCAACGTATTGTTTAACAAGGTAAGGTTGTTATAAACAGCGTTTTTCCATTATAACCTACAAAAACATAAAGCCTCACATATGATGCGTCTAGCGTAATGACGTCGCTACCAGTGGTTATGTTTGTTTTAATCGTAACTGAAATTTAAATGTACAAAGGGTGTAATTTTAAGTAAGGGTTAAGTACAAGAACCTGCCACCACAAAAATGACGTCACCCGCGTAGCATTGGGGCTTTATAACGTAAATGGTAAAGGTCATTTGTAATGTTTTCTACCTTTACAGCTCCATACCACCTCGCTTGTAACACTGTGGAGGAAAATGTACCACATAGACACCTTGATAAGAACCAGAGGAATCAAACTGAAGTACAGAAGGCTCATGTACTCCACCTCGACATTTTGTATCGTAGCAGCAACTCTGCACACTTGCTACATCATATTCCTCGTTTCCATCCAAAATTACAAAGACCCTTTGTTCAGCGGTAGTGTGTACTTTGCCCTTAACTTCGCAGTGACGGGTTTCGCGTGCGTTTCTTGTTCTTTCCACGCTTTCTTCCTGCTTATTGGTCATATGTTTGAAAAAATCCTTGAATATATGGAGCATCGTGTACTTAGAAGTTTCCTGTTAGACTCTGACTCTAAGTCCAAGTCTATAATTGATACGGCTGTTCTACATCAAGAGCTTTGCCAGCTAGTGAGACATGCCAATGATGTGATGTCGGTGCAGATGTTGGCTTCCTTCGCTGTTACCTTTTCGGTAGTCACCCTGCAGATCTACAGCATGGTTAATGCCTTTAACATAAAAAAGGTCGACTACAGCTTCTTGTTATCTTCTTTGTTTTGTGTGATAATTTTGCTACAGGAGAAGCTAATCCTCAGTCTGGTGTCTCGTAGATGTATGGGAATGGTAAGCAAAGATTAAATACCTACCTTTATTGCATTCGTTTTTATTTGTCTTCATGGTTTACATTAATTTTAGGTACCCAAGACAAAAGAATTGCTGACGGAATTATTGAATGTACATATAGACGATAAAAAAATATGTCGCGAAGTAAGTATAAGTATAAATAAATATATTTGTTAGGGTCTACAATACTTCTACNCGTTTTTATTTGCCTTCATGGTTTACATTAATTTTAGGTACCCAAGACAAAAGAATTGCTGACGGAATTATTGAATGTACATATAGACGATAAAAAAATATGTCGCGAAGTAAGTATAAGTATAAATAAATATATTTGTTAGGGTCTACAATACTTCTACGGTCATCTGTTTTTTTTTTTAATTTTATGACATTCTAGACGTGAGTTGTAGTTTGCAGTTTTTGACGAAGAAAAATAACACATGCCAACAAGGAAAAAATTACAGAGATCAGACAATACGTTTCCGAAGGCATTTGGCGCGCTGAATCCGAATCTGGCCACAGAATTGATCCATCACCCTAGGCTTCCGAGATATTCTAACCTAAAAGTGCAAAAAACACGTATTTTTGCTATTTTCAAGGATATGTAACTTGGCGAAAATTTTTTTTTTCTCAAAACTGAAAATATCATTGGAAACTACTATCTTTCCCCTTCAAAACGCATTTTTTTATTTGTAAAAAGCTTTATTTTTCGCGGAGATATCGTCGATTAAAGATGATCAGTATAGCTACCTTATTACCATGGCTCGACCTATAACACAATATCACTAAGCGCTACGAGCCTTATATGTCAGGAAGGTTAACCCCAATAACCCAAATAACCCAATAACCCAATAGGGCTTGGGATTAACCTTCCAGACATATAGGGCTTGGGGTTAACCTTCCTGACGATTAGGGCTCGCAGCGCTTAGTGTTATTGGGTTATAGGGCTTGAAGTTAACCTTCCTGACGATGAGGGCTCGCTCCGTTTAGTGTTGTGGGGTTATAGGGCTTGGGGTTAACGTTCCTAACAATTAGGGCTAGCAGCGCTCAGTGTTATGGGGTTAGCCATGATGTAATAATATAGCCATACTGGTCATCTTAAATTGACGATATCTCCGCGAAAAATAGAGCTTTTTCCAAATAAAAAAATGCGTTTTGAAGGGGAAAGATAGTCGTTTCCAATGATGTTTTCAGTTTTGAGAAAAAAATTTTTTTTCGCCAAGTTACATAACCTTGAATATAGTAAAAGTACGTGTTGTTTACACTTTTAGGTTAGAATATCTCGGAAACCTAGGGTGATGGATCAATTCTGAGGCCAGATTCGGATTCAGCGCGCCAAATGCCTTCGGAAGCATAGTGTCTGATTTATGGAATTTTTTTTTTTGAAATTTTGTCGGCCTGTGTAATCAATAGATATTTTTCCTTCAAATTTAGTACACAATAATTTTCTTAGGGAATGTAGAACCTTACGCTTTTCTGTTTTTGGTCCTAGATACGCACAGTTCTATTTTGCATTTTTTTTTAATTTTATCGGCGCCAAGAATAATAACCAATAGGTTTTTTCCTTCTAATTTAATCACAATGATTTTAATGGACGTAGAATAATATTAATATACTATTTAATCAAAATTTCTTGTTTTTCTGAAAAATGACATTCATACTCATAAAAAAATGGCTCCAAGTAAATCCGTCAGCCTACTGATACTTATTTTTTTAAGGTTAATGCTTTTAATCTCCAAATTCTTCACGATCAGTTTGACATAACAGCTGGCAACTTTTTTGTGATAGACCCACCAATTTTTCTAACAGTAAGTACGTTTTCCTGTTATTTTGAGGGCAGTTTTCTGTATACATAAACAAACAATACACTTACCTTTGATCAATGTTTTTAGGCAGGCAGTGCGATTACAACCTACATATTGCTTTTTATCCAGGCGGATCCTTTCGTAGATCTCTATCAAAGCATGAAAGATAGTGTCGGGGCAATATAGATGCACCAAAAACGTCTGTGTACAATTTAGAATATTTTTAACTTTAACTTGTTGAATAAAAATGGGAGAAACTATTACTTATCGTCTCACAAATTTAGTTTTATTACACCTTGCCATGTAACTTTCATGAAAATTATTAAAACGTTTCTGCAACTATGTATTAATTTCATTTCAAATAAAGCTGAATATTTACCTTTGTTCAAAATGTGTGTGAAAACTTGTGTTAGGATTAGTGATACAAAACAACAAATGCAATAATGCTAGTGGAGTCACTCCCTCATATGTTTTTTTGTGTTTGTAAAAATTTAATTTGGATACTCAAAACATTTATAAATTCAAATTTTGTGCAATGCGCTGCCATCTTTTGTCGGTCTGTAGTATTAAGTAATTAGTGATCTTATCGAAATAGTCAAGATGTCCCTAAAGATTTTCCATCCTCTTTGGTCAAGTTCAAAAATAATATTAACATCACAATCAAAATTCATACATAACCCTACTTTTTCATAAGATTTTACAAAAGCAGAATTTGAAGTACATACAAACAATGGCTTTGAGTAGTGAAATTATGATGGAATTTTGTAGACTCTGTCAGAGTCGTTTAGGTAAAACGCCGCTTCAGTATGATGAAGAATTAGTTAAAAAAATTGCAGAAGTCACCAGAGTAAAGGTAAACATTTACTCCGGAAAAATATATGTTTCAACGAATTTTTTAGGTAAACGATGAATTAAACAATTACTTACCAATGTTGGTGTGTTTATCATGTCAAGATAAAATCTTAGATATGTATAATTACATACAAACCGTACAAAACGTAGATAAAAATCTTCGAAGCATGGTAAAAAAGAGATATTTTCCGGAACTTGACAACTATTGTGAAAACAGTGATTATGAGCAGCCATTCCAAGACACATTTAAGTGCGAACAGTGTTCTGCTACTTTTTCTGATCACAGTTCGTTACAAATTCACAAAAGTTCTCATGGAGATGAACCGAAAACATACAAGTGTCCCGTGTGTTTGAAAGTTTACAACAGAGAAAGAAGCTATGATTTACATAAAAAAATTCACTTAGAATTGTACTGTAGTTACTGCTCTAAAACGTTTGATGAAAAAACTGAACGGAACGACCATACATGTGTTGAGAGAATCAAATGTGAAACTAATACATTGCAGAAAAACTGCAAAGCAAAACTGCAAAAAACTAAGCCAAAGTTTAAAATTAAATCGGGTAACTACAAAATTAATATATTTCATTAGCGTTCCAGTAATTCCTGTAATTTTAGGACTATTAAAGTTTGCTACGTTTCCTCAAGAAGGAGATACATTCCAATGTGGTATTTGTGATAAAAAATTTAACGATAAAAATAACCTGCGACATCATTTGAAAGTTCACAGAAGTTTTACCTGCACCGAAGAAAATTGTTTAAAAGAACTACCTTCTGCTTATTCTTTAAAAATACACCAACTCGACCACTTAGGGAGAAGGCCTTATCTTTGTGTGACCTGCGGTACGCTTAGCGAGATTTCAAAATTATTCCCGAAATTAAATAATAAATTCTTGTAGGTAAAAGCTTCAGAACGAAGAGCTCTTTATCCTGTCACGAAAAAATCCACTCTGAAATTAAAGGTTATAGGTGCGACTTGTGCAACATTGGTTTTTCTGTCAGGAGTAACTTGCGTGCCCACGAGAAGAAATACCATGAAGGTATCCGATTCTATTGCTCGCAGTGTACCAAGGAATTCATGTCGAAGTGTAGCTTAGAGAGACATGAGAAAATACACACCGGTGTTAAAGAATTCAAGTGTGGACAGTGCACTTCGGCATTTTACACGAATAAAGAATTGCTGAAACACCAAAGATATCACCAGGTAAGCTCAGAGATGAGTATTTTAATTCTATCCACAAATTTGAAATTCAGTAGATAATATTGGTGACAAAAGTTTGTTCGATTATATAACATTGGAAGCAGTGTCCATTTGTGTACAATGACCATTCCTAAGAAGAAGAAGACGATTTCTGTCAATTGTCAAGGCTTTTAACTTTTAATGACAATTAAGGTTAAGTGAATTTAGTAAACATGGCAGACGAAAACGACAACGAAAAAATGGAAAACGAAAACCAGAAGGGCGAGAAGATGTTCTCGCTGAAAAAGTGGAACGCCGTTGCTATGTGGAGCTGGGACGTGGAGTGCGACACTTGCGCGATTTGTCGCGTCCAGGTGATGGATGCTTGCCTCAGGTGCCAGGCAGAGAGCAAGAAAGACTCCTACGGGAAACAGGACTGCGTCGTGGTTTGGGGGGAGTGCAACCACTCGTTCCACTACTGCTGTATGTCTCTGTGGGTGAAACAGAACAATCGGTGCCCGTTGTGCCAGCAGGAGTGGTCCATTCAACGAATGGGGAAATAGTGGTTAGCATTATTCGCTTTATTTGTGTGTTTAGAGTTGTTTTTGAAATTTTTAATTAGTAGATATTGTGTTCCAAGTGGTTTTATTCGTGATAGTTCTAATAGGTTACTTCGACAAAAGTTAAATCAATACAGGTATTTTAAAGGTAGATTTTTTTTTTCATATCGTATTTATTTTTAATATTTAAACACATATTTACATACAAAATTTAAGAGAATGGACCGTGTAATATACACATTACAAGCACACTGTCTTTTCACAAACGAATTAAATTAAAAGTAAGAAAGTAAAAAAATATGTGACTAAAGATAGTCACAATAAAAATCTCATGTTTCTGCAATGAAAACTAAAGCAGAATTGTTTACAAAAAACGGGACAAAGAAACAGACAACACTCCATATACGGTGACAAATATTAACTTCTTTTTATGTATCATGTTCTCCATAAGTTTTAGTGATTTTGATTATTATTAATTTTAAGCGTCAAAAGTTATTGAAAACTATATTTTCCACCGTCACATTTGAAGCAACCATCTCCTACAAAATGTTTCCGCTAATATTTCCATAATAAAAACAAATTAAAAGTCTGCTAGCTTTAATCTGTTTATAAGATGTAGTGTCGATTTCTTGAATAAAGTCAGAACGAAACGCACGAGGAGGATGAGGAACAGTATCGATGATATTCGCCCTGTGTTAAAAACTGACTACGGACAAGGTGTATCAGGCCTAAAGTTTTATTCTACTCGGTGAAACTGTCGATGGGAAATTTACTGTGATATTTTAAAATGATTTAGAAGAAACATGGGGCACAACCAGCCAGAAATGTGGATCAGCAATAAGTGAATGTTGCTTTACGAGAATGTGGTTGCACGTAGCTTCCTCGCAGTGAAACAGATCACTGTTCTTTATCAAACTTTGACCCTATGACTTCCTCCTCTCCCTAAAATGAAACTCCAAAGGAATAGATGTCGTTCTGACCATTGAAGATATTAAAATTATTAATTTCATCGGTGGCAGTGTTGTATAAAAGCCCAAACTATTGGCGATTAGAACTTACAGTAATTAATAATTTTTATATGCGAGTTCTACAAATCTTTGCCCAGGACTTCGTCTAATCCGGGGGTATCTTATTTCGTTTGTTGCAGGGTTTAAAGCAACACAAATGCGAGGAATGTTTCAAAACATTTTTCGAACGTCATCATCTGATCATCCATTTAAGAAGCCACAGCGGTGAACGGCCGTATGCGTGTAAGGTTCCAGGTTGTGGCAAAGCATTCGCTGAGAGCCAGAAGTTAAAAAGACATCATATTGCTAAGCATAATGCCATAAATTAGCTGTATTTCATGATTTTCTTTTTGCCGTTACTGTTACACTTAATAGCTGACTCGGGAAAATATTTCGTCGTTGCGCTTTAAAAATGTGGCATGTGCATATTTTCAGCAAAACACATTAAATGCAGAATTATTCTATAAACGACATCAAACCGCATAATCTAGTTAAAAATGGCCATCTTATTTTCTCCAGAATTGTGACAGTCCACGGTAAAATTATTTAAAAAAAGACCAAGAAAAGAGTTTTTTAACTCTACTGAACAATTGAATAAAATACGTGTCACTTTTTGAAGGTGCAACGAAGATTTCCTATATTATGAGAAATTTATGGTATTACAATAATTTGAGTTTGAAACATGTTTAAAATAAAAATACTGAGTTAGGTAGCTTATGTAAAATATTTTGAGGCTGACTGTTTTTATATATTTTATACTTTTACGATTGGAATATTACTATTTTATTGCTAAGATACATTTTAAATCCCATTTTATTTCATTCTTAATTGTATTAGGACAATTTGTGGTAATTTTTTATTTATGTCAATTATATTTTATCAATTCGAAAAAGTGTTTCTGTTCTCTTCAAATCTATATTCCCCAAACACGTTATAAATACTCTAATTATAAATTAGAAATTGCTCCATTGAAAGTTATATGTACAGGGTGATTCTTGATTTAGGCAAATAAAATATCTATTTTATACAGGGTGTCCTGAAATTCTTGCAACAAAATTTCGTCACAGATTCTTAAGACAAATTTAGGGGACCCGTATTTTTTATTGTTGCCAAGTGGTCCTCTCCTTCGGAGTTACAGCCCCCTGAAGTTGGCCCCTAAGAATAATCTTTTTTTATATCTCAGAACCGTGTTGTACGAAAATCACTAAATTTGGTACACAGGGGTTTTATGACATGTGAAATCTGATGGTGCAACGTTTTTTGGCAGGGAACCCCCTAAGACAATTTTTCGAGGGCTTTCTTGTCTTTAGAGCCAAAAAAATTTAGTCGCATATTTAAATTTCTTAAAAATTATCAGTCCACTAGAAAGCCATTAAATTTAGAAACTTTTTGTCCCTTCATTCTTTTTTCGTAAAAGGCAATGTTTTCGAGAAAAATGTCAAAATGTGATCGAATGCATATCGTGATTCGCCATTTTCCTCAAAAGCATTGCGTTTTACGAAACAAATATTAAGACAAAAAAAGTTTCTAAATTCAATGGCTTTCTAGCTAACTAATAATTTAAAAAAAAAATCAAATTTGCGACCAAATTTTTCTGGTTCCAAAGACAAGGAGGCCAACGAAAAAGTGTCTTAAGGGGGTTTCTCGCCAAAAAGCGTGACACTGTGAGATTCCACATGTCATAAAACCCCTGTGTACCAAATTTAGTGATTCTCGTACAACATGGTTTTGAGATATAAAAACGATTTCTTAGGGACAGATTTCAGGGGGCTGTAACTCGGAAAGAGGTAGTCAGTTGGCAAAAAGAAAAAATACGGGTCCCTTAAATTTGTCTTAAGAATCTATGACCAAATTTTGTTGCATGAATTTCGGGACACCCTGTATATGGTTAAAAGGGTAAAAAAAAATTGCTATTCAACGGGATGGCCAAGTACATGGTGTTCTATTTAAAAAACCTATGTTTATGTAATGTCAGAAAAACTGCGATTTGTAAAAAAATCTTAATACGCCAATGGCTTCCTCATAAAAAATAGAACAAATAATGTTCAAACTTTTTTTTTAAATTTAATGACAACGGAACTAGAGAGGTCACTGCAAATGGGCGATTTTTCAAATAAAAAGACTGTATATCTAAAACTAATCAAGTTAACGAAGATATTCAGGTACCAGTGAAGTAAACTCAAAAGAGGACGGGACTTTGATATCAGATTTCTTGTATCTATCACCATTTTGGCTGTAACTATCAAAAATCAACTACCCTGTATATTACACGCTTTAACATTTTGAACAGGAAGACTAGACGGTAGTCTCCATGATTTTGAAGTTGGGAAATATATAGGCAACCAACATGTCAGCTTATAGTATAAAAGGTTGCATATTGTTTCATCTCAAACTCAAATTTCTTTAGTTACTAGACATTGGGCCGGCTAAAGGGTCAGTCGGTCCAATAAATTTCAATGGAATTAAAAATGCGTTAAATTAAAGAAAGTATTAAACACCAAATTATTTTGGAAGGTATTTCTGATCCAAGTCTTTAACTGATGTTATCTCGTGTTATTTTATATATAAAAAAAAACAAATGTTTGTAGGTGAATAAAGTTTAAAGTCAACAGTAAATTTAGTAATCTGAAGTTGCAGTAGTAGTTCAGTTGCATCTCCATAACTAAAATAGTTACAGGGCGGTTTTAGAATCGCATAATTTACGATTCTGTAAATATGTTAATCGTAACTTATAAAAATACAACTTTACGGAGAAATGCAGAATCGATCCATAAATTTGCGAATTTAAAATTTATACATACCTTTGCTTTCAAGATATTTGATGATGAAAAATTTGTTGGTAGGCAACCAATACGTCAACGTCGTGTATAAAAAGTTGTATATTATTTTGATCTCTTATAAACCCGAGTTCTTTTGGATCACGGTCCGTAAACCGTGCTTTTAGATATCGAACATTGGGCCGGCTTAAGGGAGAGGCCTGTCATTCCAATAAAATTTAGTGAAATTAAAAATACATTAAGTTAAAGAAAGTATTAAACAACAAATTATTTCGGCAGATAATTATACATAACAATAGTAACAACTAGGCTAATTATGACCACAAAAAATACAAATTAAGTTTTTATATTAAATTATGCAACAAATAAGGAAACTACATTTTCCCGTAAATATAAAGTTATAACATATATGCTATGCATTACAATTTTGCATAGACTTCATAATCATTTTTAAATGTTCACTTATTATTATTAAATAATAATTTGGTATTGTTTTTCAGAAACCGATAATTTTACACTTTTTTTACTCGTCTAGCTTCAAAAACCAAATGGAAAACCACCAATTTCACGCTTGAATAAGTAAATAATAAATATTTCCCATTTTTGGAGTACTTTTGTATCATTTTTATAAACACCATTTTTGTAAGTTTTATTTTGGAATGAATATTGTTTTCTTCAATGTGTTCCTTAATTTTTTGTTGTCGAAATAACATTTAGAATTTTAAACCTTATGTAACTATACTATGATGTCCTGCAAATAAATTTTGCAGAATAACTGAATGATGGATATTATTTATCGTTAAATGCATAAGGAAAGCATTTTGTGATGGTAGGTACTATTATCTTCGTGAATAACTGTACCTTGTGTTTTTTTACGGATTCACTAGCTACTTACACAATTCGCAAGACTGTTAAATAATAAAAAATTGCTTGGTAATGAAACCTGTCTAGCTTATCGTCCCACACCGTGCCAGGTGTGCGGGAGGCGTAATTCCGTTTTATCGAGTACAAAAATGTAAACAAGACACTGCAAGTATTATTATTTCTGTTATGCCCATTGCCCCTCATGTAAAATTCGAATAGAAACTAATTAGTGACCTGAAATTATGAGAAACTTCAGGGTTGCTGCAGTAAAAAAAGTTATATAACACGTTCGACTCTTGTCAGCAGCATAAATTTCAATAATTTTGTTTCAATTTCTGAACATTTAATTGCATATAATTACGGAAAAGTTGCATCTATACAACGATTTGCTTTCATTCCAATAAACTCGAAGACACATTATTGTTTATCCTTGTCTTACATAAAATGTATATATGTATCTGCTTATTTCTCTCGCGCAGTTGTTTATAGTCGCAGAGCACATCCAGCGTTGTCAGATCAGGAGAGTGACATACGGATGGTTTTTATTAATACTTGAAAATCTAGGGACAAATATAATTTTTTTTTAATACTTCAATTGTTCTTGAGGCAAGTATAACAGGACATATTTCAATAACAAATGCTTAACTATTAAAAAACAAAGCGCCAAGTTCCACACGATATGAAAACTTGTGCAAGCCACAGATATAAATAGGTATAAACAAATTTAGTAACTTCTGTAACTCTGATATGCTACCACTTTGAAATAATTGCCATTTACTGCAGCCATAATAATATGGTGCAGCCAATATTAAGTATTTTGAAAATCTTGACTGAAATCAAAATTTAATTTTTCGGACTCGGACCAACTTCAGTAAATGATTAAAATATTGTTAATAAAATGTTAATATGTTGAAATTCAACTTTTGGGTATTCAGTATTTGCTATACGTTGAAAAAGAATTGTCAAGAATTAGTTACATTTTTCCGTTTCCTTAAAATCCGGAAACGTCCCTATGATCTCAGATCGTAATTTCCAAAAACCCCTTAGGATAACAGCTATGTACTGTTACTACCTACTCAGCCTTGTGCCAACCTCAAACAAAATTGTTTATTTTGAAAAGCAGGTTGATTGTATATTATACCTAATTTATTAAAGTTTAACAAATATAATGGTACCATTTTGTTATATTTATTTTGCTGCAAATTTCTTAGTATTTTAACAATATTTTTTATTCATAAAAATTTTAGCATAAACCAAGAAATTTTATGAATTCAGTTTTCAGATAAATATAGAAATCTTTCAAAATGTTGTAGGAATACTCGAGCATCTGGCAACACTGGACACATATGACGTTCGCTTTGACGAATGATTCGAGCGCGCTTCATTTTGACAGTTGTTTATGATTGTTTTAAAGACGGCAGTGCATTAATTTATATGAAATACGTGTTTTTGTTATTAAATGTGTGTTAATGAATTAGTGCTGTTATAGTTTTTTTAAAACAGTAAGTCTTCATGTATATATTAATCATATAGCTACTGATTATTTGTGCAAAAACAACGCTCATGTGCCATTCTGAATGTATTCATGAATTATTATTATTATTATTCATGAAGTCGCTTGGTGAGGAAATTAAACAACTGAAATGCAGATGCTGTCAAATATCTTTTTAAATTTATTCATGATGTTCACAAATTAGGACATATTCTAATTTTCGTGAATTTCTTCTTGAAATTCAGAAGTACCACAAAAATATTGAGGTTAAGTTATTTGTTTACGTATTTACTTCAGCACGTTTTTTACAGAATGATAGGTACGTGAACTGGTAAATTCCGATTACAATTTTTTTTCATGTTATCTAATTAAGTAAAAAAATAACTAATCTCAACTTATTCAAAATGTATTAATTTTCAGTTGGTCTTTATTTACTGTAACTTGCTTGCAAAGTTGGTAGTTTTTGTCTCAAAGAAATTCACGAAGTTTAAAACAATGTAAAACCAAACACTTTATCGATAAATTGATGAATTAATTCATGAAAAACTTCCTTAATTAATTTGTGTATAAATTCGCAATGTGAAACAGGTATAGTGATGATGATGAATCTTGTTACAGTCGTGTC